GCTATTCTATTCCTATTTCTATTCTATATTCTATTCTATTCTTATTTCTATTCTATTCTAAATTCCTATTCTATATTCTATTCTAATATTCTATTATATTCTAAATTGTACTGAATTCTATTCTATTTTAAATTCCTATTCTAAATTCCTATTCTACTCTGCATTCCTATTCTATTCTTATTTCTAATTCTATTCTAAACTGTATTGAATTCTATTCTATATTCTATTCTACTCTAAATTCCTATTCTATTCTAATTTCTACTTCTATTCTGTTTTATTCTACTCAGGCCATAAGTGGAGGACTACTTGAATTAAATGTGACTGATCAAAGCCAAGATGGACCGTTATCCCCCCACACACACACACTCCCAGCCTGTGGCCGCAGCTGGATCTCATCGACGCAGCCCTTAATGGGAGGTCTCCAGAGGCAGAGCTGTACAAACATCCGACTTGCACAAAAGACACCCTGCATTTCGGCCCCCAGCTTGAACGCTTTCCCGCAATCGCTTTTGACATTTTTGCACGGAAACGGGGTTTTTCCATCTACCCGGCTGCCGCTCGCTTGCCGCGGCTTGCGCGATGCTCAATTCCAGAGGGAGCGGGCAGGGCGGCGGCGCACGGCGCACAGCGGTCCTGCCGCCCCACAGCGGCGGGTGGAATGAGAAGTCTGCCAAAGGATCAGTGGGGAGAGGCAGGTTGTGTGGAAGAGGAGAGGAGGGGAGACTTTGTCCCTGCAGGCCTCGGTTGTTGTGCCGTATGAATGCCCTTCGTTGGCAACCCCCGAGGCGCCCCGCGAATCATCTGCCCCGTGTCTGCCTCTTAATTACAATTAGAGTTGCCCTTCGTAATTGGTACGGTTACCACACTTCTACATCAGTTGTAATTACAGGCAGTCCTTGACTTCCGACCCCAAGTGAGCCCAAGTTTTCCACCGCTAAGCGAGGCAGTCATGAAGCGAACTTTGTCCCGTTTTAGGACAGCTGTGAAGTGAATCACAGCCGCGGTAAGTTAGGAACACGGAGGTTAAGAGTTTCCCCGCTGAGTTTGCTCGTCAGGAGGCCCAGGAGGTTGCAGCCGTCATAAATAGGAGCCAGTTGCCAAATGTTCGAATTATAATCACGTGGCCACAGGGATGGTTCAATGGTCGTAAAGTGTGAGGACCTGTCGTAAGTTTCTTTTCACTGTGCCGTTGTGACGTGGATTGGTCCCTAAATGAACGGTTGTAACGGAATGGGAATCTTGGAGGTCTTCCAGTCTAACCCCCCTTCCCGTTTAAGCAGGGAAAACTCTTCCTAGAGAGTACCCGGCACATTTCTATCTTTCTTGCCCACTGGAGGCGGCCGTTTGCTCAGAGGTGGGTTTCCATGCTCAGTTCTGCTTATCCTCTCCAGAAACCATTCCGGACCAGCGGTTTCATCTTCTTTTAATGACCCCATAATAATCTCTTGCATCAGGCTGGAGTCTGGGCCACTGAATGGAGAGATGAGCGTTTTACTGACCAGATGCCCTTCCTGTCGCCAACGCGGAGTTTTATTCGGCAGATATATTCTCAGAGAGAGAAATATCTTCCTCTACCGAGGATCGAACTCACAGCCTCCGGATTGTTTCACCTCTAGGCCACCTCACCACTCTCTGGACCAGGGAATTCTTCTGCCAAAATTGACCTCCTTGGAGATGCTGACTTGTCTTCTTGAGAAGATCTGAAATGGTCCCATGTGGGCCTGTGGCTTCGGGCCAGCCAGACCGAGTCAGCTGGTCCGATTCCTGGTCTGAAGAACCACTCCTGGGACCTGCCTCCCTTCAACCTCCCGCCGAGCTGGCTCTTCGTGGACATCATCCAGTGGCCACACCTGTTTCAGCAGCGACATCCAGCGGTGGGATTTAACTGGTTTGGACACCGGTAACCGTATAGCCCTGCACACTGGGGCCGCAGCAGAAAGTAAGTATTATAGCTAAAAATGGTCTTTTCTAAACGCTGGGTGTGCACCTGTGGAGCAAACCGGTTGTTACGCCCACCGACCCACCTGGGCTCCCATACTCACCTCTGCTTTTGAAGCGCAGCGGCCTTGCGTGGCACAGCAGAGTGTCGCGCGGCCGCCGCTGAAGCGACCGGGAGAGTGCGGGCTTGCAGGACGCGAGTCCGGGACGCCTCTGCGCCTGCGCAAAATGCGCATTTGGTACAGGTGCAAAGCGTGCAAAGCGTGTACACGCGCGGCAAAGCGCACCCACCAAGCCAGGCCCACCAAACCAGCGGAAGACGATTTTGAAACACGCGACCGATTGGAACGTTCTCCTCACCCTCCATGCCTTCCGCGTGCGCACACCAACGCATTATTAGCGTTCGCGCCGGCAAGGTTTTAAGCGTCTAATTGCTCGACGGTGCTGACTTAAAGGTTCGCCACAGATAAAGTACCTCTTCACGAAGCGCCTAATTAACGCGTGAAAATTCACACCTCAACCTGTGGAGGGCCACCAACCTGGACGGGGGGGGGGAATGGATCCATTCTCGGAGTGGGGGGGACGCAGATCTATCAAGGGCTAGGGGGCCTCAAGGAGCCTCCATGCTGTCTCCGAAGTTGGGGGGCAGGAGAGAGGCTTCCACTGACTATTTGTCGTGGGGTGGGGATTCTGGCAGGCGAGGGGAAAACCTTTTCCCGCTGAGGTGCTCAGGAGGGATCTCCTAAGTTGCCACGGGAAACCAAAGCTGGGCCCGATCAAACGGGCCTTGGATCTGATCCAACGCTTCACGGGGTTTGATATAAAGAGCCGTTGCTGGAACTGGCTACGCCTCGTTTAATGAAGAGGAGGAGCGGGGGTGACATGACAGCAGCCTTCCGATATTTGAGGGGCTGCCCCGAAGAAGGGGAAGGGGGTCCACCTATTCTCCAAACCAGCCCCTGAAGGCAGGATGAGAAACAACGGCTGGAAAGTCATCGAGGAGGGAAGCAACCCGGAACTAAGGAGGAATTTCGTGACGGTGAGAACAATTAATCAATGGAAGTTCTTGCCATCACAAGTTGTGAGTGATCCATCACTGGAGGATTTAAGAAGAGATTGGACGACGATTCGCCTGGAATGGTATAGGGTCTTCCTCTTTGAGCAGGGGGCTGGACTAGAAGACCTTCAAGGCCCCTTCCAAGCCTGTTATTCTATTCTGTATTCTATTTTATTCTATTCTATTCTATTCTATTCTAATTTATTCTGTTCCAATCCATTATTCTATTCCATTCCATTCATATTGTATTTCAATCCATTATTCTATTCTATTCTATTCTATTCTATTCTATTCTATTCTATTCTATTCTATTCTATTCTATTCTATTCTATTCTATTCTATTCCTATTCTATTCCTATTCTATTCTAATGTATTCTATTCCAATCCATTATTCTATTCTATTCTATTCCATCCCATTCTAATTATATCCTATTCCAATCCATTATTCTAATTTTTCTATTCTATTCTATTCTATTCTATTCTATTCTATTCTATTCTATTCTATTCTATTCTATTCTATTCTATTCTACTCCACTCTATTCTACTCCTATTCTATTCTGTTCTATTCTTATTCCTATTCTATTCCTATTCTATTCCTATTCTATTCTAATTTATTCTATTCCAATCCACTATTCTATTCTATTCTATTCTATTCTATTCTATTCTATTCTATTCTATTCTGTTCTGTTCTGTTCTGTTCTGTTCTATTCTATTCTATTCTATTCTATTCTAATTCTATTCTGTTCTGTTCTATTCTTATTCCTATTCTATTTCTATTCTATTCTAATTTATTCTATTCCAATCCATTATTCTATTCTGTTCCATTCCATTCCATTCTATTCTATTCTATTTCAATACTTTATTATTCATTCTATTCTTCTATATTTTATTATTCTTTCTATTCTATTCTTTTATCTTCTATTCTAATTCTATATTTTATTATTCATTGTATTCCTATTCCTGCTGCAATGCCCTACTAGTCAATGACTACTTCAGCTTCAATCGCAACAACACAAGAGCACAGAACAGATACAGACTCAATATAAGCCACTCCAAACTTGATTGCGGAAAGTACGACTTCACCAACGGAGAGGTCAATGCCTGGAGTGCACTCCCTGACATCCTCAAATCGCCCCTCCTTTAACCTCACACTATCCACTATTGACCTCACCCCGTTCCTAAGAGGTCTGTAAGGGGCGTGCATAAGTGCACCATCGTGCCTCCTTGTCCCTGGTCCTATTGTCCCCATTCGTTCGTACCCATTTCCTGCATTCTTACTCATGTTTATACTTATACTTATTATCTTGCAAGCAGTTGACAGATCAAACGAATAAGATAAACGAATAAATTCCCACTCTATGCTATTCTACTCTATCGTCAGCAAGACATCACAATGGCTACTAATCAGGATGGGTTTAAAGGAGGATTGGAATACTTCAAGGAGGTCTCTTGAAGTTCCTTAGAAGCCTTCAAGGCAACCCTGGGTTGGTGTCCGCCGGATGGCGGTCGATTTTCCTCCACCCCTTACCGAGCAGTATCAGCGTCGAAGGATGAGACCAGCGGGTTGAGGTGCCGGTAACGGTTGATAAAGGCATCTTTGTTGACCTCCCAAATCTCTCGGTAGCGGTCCCAGGTCTTCAGGTAGCCCTGGAGAAGGCCGGCGTTGTTCTGCATGCCACTGCTGATCTGAGTCTGGATTTTCTTGATGTCTTCATCCCGCTCTGATGAACAAAGAACAGCAGAGTCACCCAGGACTCCCCAAGACTCCTCGCCAATAAATCCCACGCTGTAGAGGGGAGTGGGCGCTACCGGTTCACCACGGTTGGAGAGAACCGGTAGCTAATTTTATAATTTTTAATGACTGGTTCAGCGAACCGGCAAATCCTGACTCTGGCTGGCGCCGCCCATCCCAGGAGGCCCCATGCGGCCCGTTTTGGGTGCCAGGTAAGTGCAGGGCCCGCACGGAGGCTCGGGGTGGGCGAAAAACAGATCTCCCAGAGGCTCTGGAAGGCTGGAAACAGGCCCGGGCAGGAGGTTGGACTAGATGACCTCCAAGGTCGCTTCCAACTCTGTTATTCAGGGCAACCTGATCTACTCAAATAGGGGTTCGAATGAACTCGGTAAAATATAAATTCAACCCACAAGAGAGGTGGTTTCTCAGCCGGTGCAGTCGGCGGTGGAATCGGACAGTGAGAAGAATGGGGAACAGTCAGGGAGACTGGAGACGATTCGAATGAGAGTCCTGTATCTGATACAGAGGTGGGGCCAGGACCGTGTGGAAGTGGGGGGCTGACTCCGGAGTCTGGTAGCAGCGAGGCAGAGGAACAAGGGGAGCCTGTCCCCAGGGCGCGTGTGCGCAGAACTGCTAGAAAGCAAGCACAGCTGAGACAAAAGGGGTGACTTGGGAGTAAGGCTGGGAGGTGATTGCCCCTCCCATAAGGGATAAAAGACAGGCAAAGATGATGAAACCTTTGCAGGAAGCAAAGTTGTTCAACCAGTTCAGAGTCATCCTTGAAGGTTGGGGCTTTTTTTGTACTTTAATTGGTTTCTTTTCTAGTTAACTGGATATTTCTGTTTTTGGCAGCACTTCACAGAACTGAAAGGTGTGTGCTTATCTCGGGGGACTTTTTGAGATTAATTCTGGCTGGGAACGAAAACAATTCCCAGCGTTGCAATAAAATAAGTCTTTTTTTTAAAATATGCATTTGCGTAATTACGGCTTAGGAAGCCTGGGTCAGAACATGGGGGCAGGTGACCCACCCAAAGAGGCTGCCTTACCCACAAGGACGGAAATGGGGTCACGGGCAAACTTGCGCCGGATGAGGATCTCCGGAAGGTGCCGGAAGACCGTGATGCTGGAGATCAGGTGGGAGCTGATGTCGTTGACCATGCTTGCCAGCTGGAGAAGCGACGGGGAGAAGGCCACCTAGGAGGGAAGAAACCGGCCAAGGGTGTCAGGGTTCCAAGCGGTTGCCCGAATAAAACCACGAGCCTCGACCCAAGCTTCAAAAGATTTACTAGGAGCAACTTGTCGGCATTAATCCCAGTGGAAGCCAACTCTGACGCGCGTGATTTATGGCCACCTGTGACCCTGTTTCCCCCCTCGCCCCCCCCCCCCGGGTGTTTCATCGATCAGATTCTCCAAGGAAGGATTTTCTCGGGTAGAAGTTCCGGGGGCCTAGCTACAATCTTTGTAAGATACGCATGGAATGTACTCCTGGTTGCTTGTGGCAACTTGAAAACAGGCATAGGAATTCCTTACAAGCGGACACGGGGGGTCAACAAGGATACCTCGAGGTTTACCGAGAAACAAGGGTGGGGCAGAAGAAAGAAAAATCAGGATTAAATTTGGGGTCCCCGGACACACAACTCTGCCGGAGATGGAAGGGCTAAGCTGCTGAGGACAAGGCCACGAGCTCACGAGAAGGTGGACCTGTTTTTAAGTTCTCGGTGGAAGAACCTTCACAGGAGCTCGGCATGTCCCGTTGCCCTTTGATTCTGCAACAAGCAGAGGTCTAACCGCCATCGGCCACGGAGGAGAACGGTTGCTCTTAGATGTGAGAAGGCCTCCGGGGCTCACCTGGGGAGCCTGCCCAGGTGAACTGTCCTGCAGAATGACCTTCACCCTGAAGAGCGGGTTGGGGCTGGTCTTGCCATCGCCGTTGATGGCCCTGGAGAGCTCCATCAGGGACCACTTGACGTTGAGCCGCAGGGCGTCCTCCATCATTCGGTTCATCCTGACCGTGTAGTTGAACCAATGCTGCTGGACCTGGTGCGAGAAGAGTCGGGGAAGAAGCGGGTGGGGAATCGGGAAAAGTCCACCACGGAGGAATCTGCAGAAGAAGGCCTCGACCGGCCCACTAAGGTGAAGGGAAGAAAGATTCCCTCGGGGTTCCAAACAGGCCTTCAACATCCATGGCCGGGGCAGCCGCTGGATATCTCCAGGTCAAGGGACAACGTAGACCCTCCAACCACACAAGGCCTTCACCGAAACCCCAGGGGGGCACCACCCTAGGAAGCCATTCCAGGGGATCTCTGGCCACCGATTCCCAGATGCTGCTAAATTCCAGGTTCTATACCAGGCAAGAACATAGGCGAAGAAGAGGAGGAGGCCAAAGAACATGAGGTGGGCAGAAGATGGAGAGACAGCAGGAAAGAAACATCAGAGGAGGAGGAGGAGGAGGGGAGGAGGAGGAAGAAGAGGAAGCAGAATAAGCAGCAGCCGAAGCAGAAGGAGGAAGAAGAAGAGCAGGAAGGAAAAAAGAAGAGGTGCAAGAAAGGAGGAAGAAGGAAGAATTAAAAAGAGGAAAAGGAAGAAGAGGAGGAGGAGGAAGAGGAAGAAGAAGTAAAAGAAGAGGAATAAGAGGAGGAGGAAGAAAAGGAAGAAGTAGAACAAGAAATAATAATAACAACAATAACAACAAAACAATAATTTCTGAAGGCATCACACAGGGGTTCAGCCCCTGTGTGTCCTTCAAACAGCTGCGGATGAAGATTTCCCTCGCCAAAAGATACTCGCTGGCCCTCCTCACCTCTGACCCATCATTCTTGAAGACTTCGTACGTCTGCCGCATGATGGCAATGCTGCCCTCGTGGAAGGTGACCAGCTTCTTCTGCACCAGGTCCCGGTGGTCCTTCTGGTCCTCTTCAAACTCCAGGTCGTTGTAGATCCGCTTGCCAGTGATCCGGACCAACAGAGCCTCGCTCATCTGCTGGGCATGGCGAGCAATGGCCAAAGTGGCCGCTTTGTATTCGTTGACAATGTTCTGGACCTGTGGGGAAACGGGAGGGACACCGGGAGAGGAGATGGAAGAAGAAGACCCACGGAGGTTGGGAAGAGGCGGCTCCTAGTTGGGCCTGGAGGTCCACGTTGAGAATGGCGAGAGGAGAAGGCATGACAGGCCCAAGAGCACCTCCTCTGTCCTGGAGAACATGGTCGGAGGAGCAGGAGCTTTGGCCTCAAGAGGTGGTTGGTGGTTACCAAAGAGGACAACCAAGGCAGAGGCGAGGCCTCCTTGCGGACCGGCAAGGAAAGGCTGATGCCATAATTTCCACAATAGGGGGACTGAGGAGCTCCTTGGTGGAGTAGAACCTCCTTCTGAGAGAAGATGTCCTCCATCTTTCACCGTCCCCGCCGTATGGAGTGGACAGAGAAGCTGAGAGTGGGGCAGATCTGCTACCCAGGGAGTTTTGGCCCCGGGATTCGTGTCCCTCAAGGCACCCTGGTCCCCGAGGGCCGAGGAAGCCACATCCCCACCTTGCTGGCATGGAGACGACACTCCGAGATGAAGACCGTGCTGGCCCCCTTGAGGGACCAGTGGAGTTTCTTGAGGCCAGGTTGGATCTTCCGGTCCAGGTAGCGGATGCGTTCCCGGAACAGGCCTCTCTCCTCGGCAGACAACATGCTGATGATCCTGGGGACCCAACCAAGGGTGGAAGGTGTTAAGATCCAACTCTTTCTTCCCCCCAAGACGGGAAAAGAGCGAAATTGTGACGCATCCCAGGCCTTGCCATCAAAATACATTATGCAGCAGCTGGTCTTCCAGCCAGATGTTCCTCATTTCCACAAATCACTCCCACCTCTGGTTCTGGCAGAGGCGGGCCTGCTGGAGATTGCTCAGCCTCTGGCAGAGAGCTTTGGGTTTCCTTAAGGACAACCGGCAAATTTTGCCTAACTTCGCCTAAATTTTGCCTAGACTTTGAAAGCTCCCCCAAGGATCCTTCACAACGGATCTTCAATGCAAGATTGTTTTGTTGAAGTGGACTTCAACTCTCAGAGTTCCCCAGCCAGCATGGTTGAAGTCCACCCACCTTAAGCATGGAATTCTGGGAGTTAAAGTCCACCCGTTTTAAGCATGGAATTCTGGGAAATAAAGTCCACTTAT